GGCTTCACAGCAACTATTTTAGTTCATCAGGAAGGGCTTAGGTTCAGGTGCTCTTCATGGAAGGTGTCTGTTTTAGGGTCACAGAGCTGAAGAGTAAATTCCATTTTATTGGCACCTTCTCCCTGAACTGCCCTGTATCTTCTGATGCTCCTGGGTTCATTTTTTAGCTCTATATGATCCAGTGTACTTGGCATTATCAAGAGAAAGCTATTCAAATTTTATTCAGTTAGAACCAAGTAGCTCAAAGATAAATATTTCCTAAAGGAGTCTTCATCCCTCCTTCTGTAAGTTGTCAAGATCTTTTATCTCTGTTAATATTGCCTGGAGCTCCGGTCAGAACAAGACCAGGACATACACGGTAATTATGTCAAGGTGTCCAGCCCGAGACAAACAGGGGCCGAGTAGCTGGAATGCAAACAAGCCCATAGACGTGGGCCTTGGCATGCCCAATCTCTTTGCCCATGTGTAATGGACTTCTTTTGAGGCAGCAATGTGCAATAGCCCTGGCTGAGTCTCCTCTTGGGCAGCCTGTGCACAGGCATTGCTTGGAGGAGTAATGCAGCAATCCTCCCCCCTCCATCTTTCTGTGATACACTGAGCAACCTGCACGAGCACTGCTTTACCGGCGCCTTCCCTTAGCATCTGCTGTGTTTGTAAATGAGCAGCGAGGCTGTAGCTGCATGGGCAGTAGGGAAAGCAGCTGCAGCTGCACAGAAATGCCAATGCAATATTAGAGCTGCAGTCGATTTTCAGTTTCAAAGCATCAGTGTTAGTACTGCCTTTGGGTTGCAAACACTGCTGTCTACAAACTTAAATGTTGCTATAAACAACAAAAATAGCCAATTTTTGTTTGTTTTCACTGCTGCCAGCTGCAGTAGCTAGAGCAGCAGTAGGGTGGCTGGGTTTGCATTCTCTGTCTTCTAATGTTTCTCTTCTAGAGCCTGGTTTGGGGCCACTTCAGAACATGTACTGAGTTGTCCTTGATATTACAAAGCCAGCACATAAATGTTGTTTCATATGGAATTTAATAGTTGTTTTTCAAACCTTGCTTTAATTGCAAAGATCAAAACCTGTGGTAAGATGAGCCTTTTGAGCCTGGGAGCTGCCATGCTTGGAAATGGTGAGCATTCCCTTTAACGCATGCTTCTCTGGAAGGTAAGCAGCTCTCACAATATAGCTGGTTTATTGTGCCATGCTCCAACACATTTTGCAGAAAACCTTTTTATCTGCTGGTGTGATTTATCATTCCTGGGATAGGGAGTAGGAGTCCTAACCCTTTTTTCCCCAGTAACAGTATGCTCCTCGGAGAGGACACTGCAGCATGCTCTGTCCCAGCTGGAGCAGCTCTGCTTGCTGCAGTGACATGCAGTACCGTAGGTGCTTCTGTGCCATGGAAATGTCAGCCCTGGCTCAGGAGCTACCCTTTAGTATTTGCTCCGGGAAAGGGACTGTTACACTGGGTATATTTGGTATTTCTGTATCAGCCTAGGAATCGGACTGGATACAACTGAAAAAAATAGTAAAGGTACAGACTGGTACAGATTGAGGGCTAACAGAAAAATGAGCACTGAGCATGGTGATCATTAAACACTTTTCAGTGTTTGTGCCTGCTCCCCTGCCTGCCCCCCCAGAATACAAGCACAGACTGAAGCAGTGCAGGAAGACCGTGCAGAGCCTGTCAGCCTGCAGTCATGGAGGTGTTTCAAGTGCTGCTGTACTAAACTGAGACAATCCAATGCACATATAAAGCATTTTTTTCCTCTTTATTTCTTGCTTTATTCCACATTGATCATTCCTCCCTACAAACATGGTGTTCGGTGTCAGTTAATCAAATCCTGGCCTGTATTTTGGGCATCTTTTTAGTCACACCTTTGATCGAGAACTGTCTGTGGTAGTGGCTTGTCTGCTTGCCTGTGCCTATTTGGCCAGGCTGGTGATGGGTCAGTTGTGACTTTCTGTATTTGACAAATCACATTCACAGTATGGTTGTTGTTGAATAGACAAAATTTAAGATATTAATATTAGTGGATGGATTAAAATACCAGCTGAGGATTCACTAGTCCATCACATGGCTTTCGGTGACCCCGAGAAGAACCATGTGGCTCTGTCCCCTTGTGAGCTGGCTGTATCAACCCTAACATGCTGTTAATGCTAGGTCAGGCTTGGTCTCTTGTCTTCTCATCAAGACACGGAGACCTGACAGCTTGGTACTGTAAGGTATTAACGCCTTCACATCATCAGTGCTCTGCTTGTGTGATCAAAATGCTACAGAGGAAGTCCATTTATAGTCTCCCTCTGGTCACGGTCATGGCATGTGTGCCGCTGCCATACTCAGAGCACTGATTCAGAGTGACATATTTAAGCACGCAGCAAAGGTATTTTATCTCAGAAATAACCATGTTCTTTAAGTGCTGGTCACAATTTGCATGTTGAAAAGCCTGCTGAATGCCACTCTTTCTAAAGATTTATTAGCATATGCCAGTTTCCTGAGCAACAGCCAGCCCTTACCCACAGGGATACATAACTCAGCGTGGTATGGCAGCAGCTCCGGCACGACCTGGTGGTCGGGCTTACCTAAGTGCAGGTGACTTCCCAACAGCGTGTGTGAGATCAGCATTAACCGGCTCCTCTGTATAGAGGTGGCCAGACGCTCAGCTCCAGCCACCCCATCACCCTGTTAAATGCTCTTCTCTTCCTGCAGAAGGGAACTGCTAGGCTCCGCTTGTGGTCCACACAGTCACTAGTCACTGAAGTTGGACTGCTAAAGCAAATGGATGGGTTGCGCACAAGTGGATTGCTCAAAGCAGCAGCAGAGCTCTTTTCTGAGAGTAGCTAACATCCACCATCATCCACAGCCCAGCTGTTCTGTAACTGAAGTCTGCTAGCTGATTTTTGGAAAAATACACACTTGTACATCCGCTCTCTTCCCTACTCCAGTCATCACTACTTTATGTTAGAAAGATAAAACCTCTAAGTTTCTAGAAGCCTGACAAGACCTACAAGTGTTTCAAAAATATGAATAAAGGGTTTATTCATAATGCTGAGTACGCTTCAAGCTTGTCAAACTATACGCAATATGCCTGTTAAGTGAACTATGCATAAAAAGCATCACGCATAGCTCTAACAGCTGTATGCATTAACTGTCAAGCCCAAAAATCTTTTCCCTCCACAGCTCATTTGGACAAATACCTGCCACTTGACTGGGCGTAGCTGCCTCTGCTGTATGGTGCATACATCACTATCTCCTCATGTTTGGTTTTCTGAGACTAATGATACTACTTCTGTACTTGCCTTGTGATCAAAGCCTGTCCTTGCTATAGGAGCTTAGACTAGTGAGACACCATTTAAGACTCTTGGATTATTTTCATCGTGCCACTGGCCGGCTGCATGACAGCAGCATGACCCTTATGTTCCCTGCCTGCTGGGCCTCTCTAGAGCGACTGCTCGCCTCTGTGAAGAGCGGAAACCTGCAGTAAAGATGCACTGATCCCTGTGGTGGTGCAGCGGAGGGCAGCTAAGCAAAGGCAGCGTGGGGACTGCCGACATACTGGCTATGTAGATAAGTGGGAACCTCTCATCCTCTCCTTCCCCATCATCCTGTTATTTTTGTCACAATGGAAATACTGCGTTAAGCTGTTTCTGGTTCAGTGAAGGGGCATTTGCTATCCAAAGGCAGATTGTATTTGAATTTTCTTTCAAATGCCTCGTTAACTCTCTCCTGATTCACTGCATGCGCGATTATCCTGACATTCTTTTACAACATTCATCTTTCTTCTTGGGGGAGGGGCAGAAATAGTAACCCAGAGCAGTAGATAACTAACTCTGTGACCGAGCAACCTAAGGTGCCCAGCATGGACGACATGTGCATCATGTGGCTCTGGTGATACTGCTGCAATGTTGTGAGATATACCATGGACAGTGGGTTTTGTACAGGTTCTCTTTCTCCCCTGTGCCTCACAGACTGGTCTTCCTGTTGTCTTTCCAGAATTTATCATTGCACCATTTTTCTGCAGAAAAATTGGGCTTCACTGCCACTCCAGAATGGCTAAGTCCTTTTTAGCAAGACTCCAGTATACGCTCTGCCTTCTTGGGGAAATCCTTGGTGTTCAGACAGTCCCAGTCATGCTCAGGCCCTGAGAAGCCCGTGTGTGTAACTCTGTAGTTGTTGAAATTCAAAGGAGACTGTGACATGATAAACCTGTGGGCATTGGGCAGGCACTACTGTTGTAGTGGCCAGCAGGACCAGGTTACAAATACACCACTGCAACAGGTCCCAAGTGTTACCTAGCTACACCATAGCTAAAGTGTGAGTGGTTGAGAATGGCATCAGGCAGGTATAGACACATCATCACTGTTCAAGAGCCCCCTCACAGCCTCTAGCCATGTGGGATGTTTTTTTGGTTTTGGTTTTTTAATTGCTGGGGGTCCTTTTTTTCCTAGAGTAGGCCCTCTATGGGACATGTAGTAAATAACCATTGTCCCTCAGCATAATTACTTGAATTCTTCAGAAGACTTAAGCAGCTTAAGTGCTAAGTTTAACCACCTTAAAGACTTAAGGCTCTATCCATCCTAGACTAGCTCTGAGGCCTCAGAATACTTTCTGCTCTGAAGTATGTCTCTAAACATTGATGCTCAAGGTTTTATTTCAAGGCAGGGCTGCACTGGCAGCACAAGAGCATCCTCCACCAACAACGTACCACCGAGTCCTGTTTGCCAGCTGAGGCAAAGTCACCAGTAAGAAATTCCAAAGCATCAAATTTATGTTCTTTATGGTAGTAAACAAACTGTGTTCAAGTGATTCTGAATAAATGCTATTGAGAGCAAGGTCAGTCAAAGCAACTGCCAGACTAGCACCAACTCCTTCTCACATTGCTCACGGGGAGTAAACAGTTATCAACGCTTGTTTGGCTCAGCAGCAATGGTGCCAAAGCTGCAGCCACGTTGGCAGACTGTGTTGCTTTCTTAGGTGGAGCTGACAGTTTGACTTGCTTTGTGCACAGCTCATCAGTGATGGCAGCGTGGTGTATGCAGAAGCCCTCTGGGACCATGTCACGATGGATGACCAAGAGCTGGGATTCAAGGCCGGCGATGTCATTGAAGTAATGGATGCTACCAACAAGGAGTGGTGGTGGGGGAGGATTCTGGACAGCGAAGGCTGGTTTCCAGCCAGCTTTGTACGGGTAAGAGCTTGATGTCTCTTTATGCCTCTCCATTAGCACCAAGTGTTCTTTTTCTCCAGGTTTAGTGTTCTGTAGTGACTCCCGAGCACTTTCACTGCTAGAGATAGTTGGTTCAACACGTCTTCTTACTATTCCTCTACACATGGCCCTGGCATATAGGGCCCTCCTGGCTGAGCTGCCACCAGTGTGGAGAAGTCCCTCTTTACATGAGTAAATCAGGGCAAGGGTGGTTCAGTTCCAGACTCCGGAGCTCAGCTGAGCTGCTCCAGCTGGGGAGCTGCCCTGCATGGTGGTTTGCAGCCTGGGCTCCTGCTTACCTATATGTATATTGGCTAGTTTGTGCCCAAGCACACAGCATCCCCTTCAGGAGCAAGCAACAAATACTCTCCTAGAGGAATCACAGATGCAGCTGGCAGAGGTCTTCACTCTCGTATCCACTTCAGACAGTATGGATAAGCATGGCACCAAATTTAGCTTCCTCCATCTGGTGCTGGGTCCAGTGTAATGCTACATCCCAAAGTATGCAACCACCTGAATCATGCACACACCTTCTTTTAGCCCTGGAGTTTTAAAAACATCAGGCTGCTGGGCTACCCCACAGCACTGTATTCCAGGCATTTAAAAATGGAGGAGAAAACCACAAAAAAAGTCTTGGAGGTCATGTGGGACAACTGATGAGGGGGGAGATATGAAACACTTGACACTTTTGGGCCAAGACTTGTGGGCCAAGGCTCTCCCCCAGTGCCAGCTACAAAGACCATATAGAAATAGCTATACAGAACAGCCCAGACAGTCCCAGCTGTATACTGCAGAGGTTGGATTAATTTCCAACAGCGCATTCTGAAACACATCTGAATTCTCTGTGCAAGTAGGGGGTAAAACAAGAGTCTGGGTAACTCCTGTGCACTCCTTTCCTGCTGTGAGGAGAAAGGGGTTTTTTCCTTTCTTTGGGCTGTCACTGTTGGTGTGGATGCCTGACTCTGGTTTCACCACTTCAGGGCAGGCTCCTCAGTACTGCAAAGGCAATTAGGTGTACCTAAGGGCAAAGATTCTCAGTCCTTTAGCTCTTTATCCAGGTCACTTCAGATCACAAGTGACCCAAAACCAGGTGAAGCATGGAAGGAGGTGATCTGGTGTCTGTAGCAAAAGTTCTTGGAGAAATGGGGCAGATAGTGCTATAAAAGTTTTGAAATGCTTTGTTATAGATTGCAGGAGAGTCTTAGCTGGGTAACTATTATGAATAGTGGATGTTTTTGCAAGTAAGATAACTAAGACCAAACTCTCAGCACTGGTGAGGACGGAACTGCTTTTTTCACAGTCAAAACATAGGCCTTTTTTTCTTTCATGTTACTGCTAAGTTGAATTGTTGTCCTGGCTGGCAAAAACCTGTGATAGTGTTTCAGGGGAAAGCAGACTAGTGCTAGCCTTTAGGGATGCAGAGTAACAAGTTCTTTTAGCAGACCAATTACAGCACTTGCTCAAGCATCTGAGTGAAGATTTCCTGCTAATTATCACTGGGTCTCAAACTTACTGCTGGGAAGGCTGGTATGTTTGGGAACTTAGATAAATCTCCAGGTCTCTCAGTTACTCCACACAAGTTTCAGGCCAAGGTCTGAGTTTAAGACTAGCCAATGTTACTCTGCTCACAGCGAAGGAAAACCAGGATTGCACATCTTGAGGGCTTCACCAGCTATTATGCCTATGCTGACAAGGGATGGGTATGCACTATTTTTATATGTAGATACACATGTATCAAGTGGTAGGTAATCCTGCCTAGAACAAACTACATTAAAAGTTTAAAGCAGTTCTGTGTCATTGTACTAAAAGTGCCTATAGTTACGCATGTTCCTACTTCAGTGTTTTTCACTTCTTCTCTGTGCTGAGTTGTGTACAAAATATTCCCATGGGCACTCTAAGAGCTACAATACTACTATGTGAAAGAAAGCTCGTAAGTGAAACGCACTGATAATTGCCTGCTATAAACTAAGGTACTTTGCTATTGTTGACAATATAGCCTCTGTAGGACAACGTGCCTACAAAATGCTATTTTTCTCTGCTCATGGTGTGCTGCCATCTGATGGGCACTATGAAGGAATCATGAGTTTCACACACAGCCCTGTAATGTAATGCCATTCCTTACCATATTATATGCCCACTGGCATCTGTATTGGCTTTATATTAACAATAAATTATCTTTAAATAATCTTGGGGAAGCAGACACCGAGAAGGCCATCTGTTATTTACAGTATGAGAACAACAATAAAGCTATATAAAAAAGCAACTATTTACTGGTTTTCCCCCCTCCCTCCCTAAGCACCCCCTCACAAGTACCTAAGCAGATTTCACTTGATAAACCATTTCCTGTCCTGACTTTGTATGTATTCTTCCTGGAGGACTCTGTATCATTCCTGTGACTTCTGTCCACAAGAGATGCCTGCTTAAAACCGCCCACGTTACACAGTAGGAGCAGCTGTCATGTGGCTTGAAAGTACCCTCCCAAAGCTATCTAGCCTTAGCTTCCCTAAGGGGAAAATATGTTTGCAAGTAATATACATGTAGCAGCCCTCTTTGCTCCTTATCCTAGCTCAATCTTTGTCTGCCATTCAGTCAACTTTCCCAAACTTCTTTTCCTTGGAAGAGTTGCGTTTAGCAATACAAACGATGAACATCTTGTGTGTCTGGCACAGCTGCGAGTAAACCAGGATGAACCCATGGACGATTATCCCCTGAAGGTAGAGGGTGGCAAAGAGGACGACTCCAGCAGTGGCACCCGCCGCTTTGGGATGGGGCAGACCACCAAAGATCAAATGAGGACCAACGTCATCAATGAGATCATAAGCACGGAGAGAGACTACATCAAGCATCTGAAGGACATTTGTGAGGTAATGGAATAAAGGGGGAAGTGAATGTCAGAACTTGTCTGAAGGATAATAGAGTATGTCCCATTCTCGCCCAGAGAGTTACCCTAAGCGGGTAACTTTACTTTTCTGAAAATGAGACTGTATTTCCATCAGAGCCTGCTCTGCTAAATGGCGTTGCATGTTCAGAAAACAGGAGACAATTCATTACAGCAATATCCCAAATGCCTCTGATTTTGGAGCACCCACTTGGGCGCATTCCATTAAATGTAATTAATTGAGTTTCCCAAGCCAGAGAAAAGTAAATGTCTAGCACTGCTGTCCTCTTTAATATACATTCTGAGGTAATAAAATCACCAGCCTTCAGGCAAGTCATGCTCAGATTAAAACAACTGGGGGATGTTGAGCCAATTAGGTCTTTCACTTGCAAATATGCTGAGTATTGCGACACCTCTTCCAGAAGAGACATGCCGTCATATACACTGGGGTAAATGAAGGTAATTGAAAAAGAGTTTTGCAGGAACATAGTTCTTCACTGAAATGACACAAAAATGTAGTGCCTTCCAGGAGAGCCAGCTGGGGCAAAGCAGCACACACTTACCAAACAAGCCTTTCCTCTTGCAGTGTCCCCCCATGTCCTTTGTGCCCCCCTTCTTCCTTGAGTCAACCAGGCATTTCCTAACACGAGCATCCAAACCAGATCTGCAACTGGATTTAATTGGCCTAACTCTATCAGTGGATCAGTGCTGGGGTCAGAACACCCTGTAGCCTGCAGACAGATAAAGGTGTTTTTAACAGGAGAGTGCAGCTCTGGGACTCCTTCAAGTGTGGATTACAGTATTGTTTAAGGCAGTGATGTAACTGTGGCTTGGTTTCTATTTCTACCATGTTTTGGGTGGTATTAGAGGAAATAATAGCTAAAACATGGATGCACCTATACAGGAAGGGGGTACAGGAACCAGGTGTACAACTGACTACAGTCCATGGGGTTTTCTGTTGATAACCAAAAGCCACAGAGCAAATGCCCAGGAAGCTTTCCAATTTGGTTTCCTCCTAGGGTTACATTAAGCAGTGCCGTAAAAGAGCTGACATGTTTACAGAAGAACAGCTGAAGACAATCTTTGGGAATATTGAGGACATCTACAGGTGCCAGAAGAAATTTGTTAAAGCACTAGAGAAGAAATTCAACAAAGACCACCCACATTTGAGTGAGGTCGGCTCATGCTTCTTGGAATATGTAAGTAAACTTGACTTCATGGGAAAGGGGTAGCTGAGCATGGATTAAGCCAGAGGATTTAGAAATTGATCAGACAGAACTGAAGCTCTGTTTAAAAAAATCCACCCAACCAAACTGAACACCACCACCCTCCTCCTGTTCAAACCCCTAACCACCTCCCAGCCAAACATCCCCTACCTCTTGTGGCTGTGGAAAGATTTTCAAGTGCCTCAGCTTCTGAGCACTATACTCCCTGCCAGACCATGCTACTTTACACAAAAATGTAGGAAGATTCCAAAAACTCGAGCTGGACCCGAGTTTACAGCTATGGTATTTTCAGGTCAGTGCAGGATCAGCAACTGCCGATCCCATCATTAAAAACATGCAGCTGAGCACAGGCCAGAATACACGGAAATGTCTTGGTCTCTCAGATAAGCTGCACATGCTGTAACTTGTAATATACCCTGCCCATCCCCAACTTTAGGTCTCTGGGCTTCAAAGTCTGGGGAGGATACAAATTGACAAACAGCCCCATGTGATAAAGGAGTAGGACCTACACAGGGAACTCACATACAGAAGTTTGAGCCAGGCCATCACCCTGAAGAACGCGGACAGTAAATCCCTTCATTTCCCTTGCAGCAAACAGAGTTTCAGATATACTCTGAATACTGCAACAACCACCCCAATGCCTGCATGGAGCTGTCCCGCCTCACCAAAGTTAACAAGTACGTCTACTTCTTCGAAGCCTGCCGCCTGCTGCAGAAGATGATCGACATCTCTCTGGATGGGTTTCTGCTGACTCCCGTGCAGAAAATCTGCAAATATCCACTGCAACTGGCTGAACTGCTTAAATACACCAACCCCCAACACAGGTAGGTCAGCATGGTGGGGAGGGAAGGAGTGAGACTGGTCTCATGGAAATGGCATGGAAATGGACTAATGCAGAATCATGTGTTGAGGGCAGCTTGCCAAGAGCAGCTGATACTATGATTCTTCTGGGTTACCTTGTAGAAACCAGGAAAAAAAAGTATTTTTCTATCAAATACATCATTTTCCGTTACAGTAGCACTAGGCTTTCCTGTTTGTTACAGACCTGGAGTTGCAAGGTCCACCTTCTTAATGGTACTTTTCTATTTTATTTGGCCCACATATCTGTGATACCAGCACATACATACTTTGGAGTTAAATGTTTCCGGTGGTGGTGTTGAAAACTTTGCCTCCAAAAGCACTGGTTGAATATACCCAAAAATGCCCACGTAACTAGACCACAGCACGTCAGGGCTGCGTGGTAGTCATGAATTTTGCCCAGCGCTTCCCCAGTGGGAAGTTGCAGCCTATAGCAGTCAAGCCATGCACACTCGGTGCTTCTTCAGCACAGCTCAAAAGCCTCCAAATCCATTGCTCTGTTTCAGGGTGAAGGCACTGTCCTCGGCTGAAATAACTGTGTCACTTAATCAAGCATCTGAAATAATTAGCTACAGAAATTAAAACATGAAAAATCTGTATTAAAGGAAAGTGTTAAGAGTGGTCCATTGTGGCTTAATTTTACCTTCCTACTTACAGCACTGCTACTTCTCAGAACAGTTTTAAACATGGCTTATTAAATCTGTAAGCATGTTGTTCTGAAGCTAACCTCTTCACAGAAAGCTCCTTAATGCAGTACGCAGATGTTTTGAAAATAGCGTTAGAGACAAGTTCTGCAGAACAGCTCCTTCCCAGCTACTCTAAACTCGGCAGAAGTAGCTGATGGCAGCAGATGGTGAGTGGGGGAGGGTAGATCAGCTTCTGTCCTACCCTTCCAGATAAACCATTGGCTCCTATTTGAAATGAAGCCAGTTATTGCTGAACTGCCTTACCTATGCATGACAGAATCAGTCCCTGTATGAAAACAGTGGCATTATGAATATATTGTATTATGTTGCCGGGAAAAAAACGAGGCTTGGAAAGCCCTGGAGATTCTTCCAGCAACTCGTATTTACACCTCTGCGGCTGAATTTGATTGCTTACCCCCTTCCCTTCCACAAATTGGGCCTGGATTTGTTACAAGACTATAACCTGTGCCTGAAAACCAGCATGCATCTGAAAAGCTGCCCACAGAAACATGTACCTCCGACTTCCAGTATAAAACAGCTGGGATAACTGCAAGTGGAACTCATGTTTTCTGCTCTCCAGCCCTAGATCATGGTAGGCTGCACTCCTTTGGGGTGTAGGTACAATAAGCATGTGTCATTTTGTCATGCCTAACACCTCTGCCCTACCCTAGGGATTTTAAAGATGTCGAAGCTGCCTTAAATGCCATGAAGAATGTTGCTCGGCTCATCAATGAGAGAAAGCGGCGGCTGGAGAACATTGACAAAATTGCTCAGTGGCAGAGTTCAATAGAAGACTGGGAGGTAAGAGACTTACTTTCCCCATGAATGGAATAGTCTGTGTTGCTCGTCTCCCCCCCACCCTCCAACAGCTTCTGCCTACAGCAAGATCTTAATGAGGATTACTATCTAGCCCTACCTCAGTTCTGCTGCCCCTCTTTGTGTGTGTTTTTTTTATTTAAACAGATGTGATCTTTTAGTACAACTGAAAAGGTCTTTGCATGTTCCCTGGGATTTTTGCTTCACCACTTTCCTTGCAGAACAAAATCAGCATGTAGGTTGGTGAAATCGTATTATTTTCCTCTTGCCCCCCATTTTATCTTGAGTGATTTCAAACTCTCAAGATGGGCAGAATTGCCCCTTAACGCTTAATAAGCCATGTTATTCTTGCAGAAAGGCAAGCTCTGATAGAGCGGCAAAGGAAGCCAAAGTTCCCTGCAGACTCATTAAAAAAAATTGCTACATAAAAGAAACAAAACTACTAATTTTCTAAATCTTAGACTTAATAAAACCAGACCGTCTCCCTCTCCAAGGATGTCAGGCTAAATTCTCAGCTCTCTGCTTATGTGCCTCCTTTTATGTCAGGGATGGATCAGCTGCCCTGAGCAGACTTCCTGGAACAGGAGATCTTTTCATTTAACACACTGTTGTTAAGGGCACAGCGTCTCCCTGATGTGACAAGGGCTGTCCTCCAGCACAGAAGCTCCCTCTCATTCCCAGAGGAGAGTTTCGTCAGCAAGAATTGAGGCCCCACAGGCCCCCTCAGCTTGGCTGAGGTTCTCTTACGAGACTACGGGCTTATTTCTTCTCCCGTTTTCAGATGGCTGAGACCAACCTGTTCTTTATGCTGTTCTCAGGGTGAAGATGTCCTAGTCAGAAGCTCAGAACTCATCTATTCTGGGGAATTAACCAAAATCTCCCACCCTCAAGCCAAGAGCCAACAGAGGATGTTCTTCCTCTTCGATCACCAGCTTGTCTGCTGCAAGAAGGTAACCTCACTAGCCAGGCACAAATGCTCTTTCTTACAAGGCTAAAGAATTTGAGTCAACTCCTCTACCCCTTTGTTGCCTTAATGCTTACTGGCATCATATGTGCTTCTGGCACAGAGACTTTTATGTGCATTCGTCGCAGTCTTTTCTCTGACGTCCTGGTGTGTCCCGTGCACCTGACCACAGCAATAAGCTACAGGAACTAACTACTGGCCTAATTCTTATAGCAGGAGAGGAAAGCATCGCACTGCTTCTAGGGTTAGTGTATGGGTTTGTTTTATACAACTCAAGTTATGAGCATTGTCACCCATTTTATTTTAAATAGGTTGGGGTTTTTTTTCAACTGTACTGCCATTTGAGATTAATATCATATTCAGAAGGTAACTGCAGCTTTGACAAAGAGCTGTGGGCCTTGACAGTCAGTAAGACCATATTAACACCATATGTAAGTCTGTAAGTACAGCCCATGCTATTTTTCGTAACCTAAGTAATAAAAGAGATCTTCCTTCGTAGAGCAAATGGAAAGTATCTTCCATTGGAATTTCAGAACTGAACACATTTTTTTTGCGTTCTCCATGGCATACAGGTAGCTCCAGGTAACTTAGGCATGAGACCCTCGCTGTTTTATCACTGCTCTCAAATTTACTTTTCATTGTCAACACAAAAAACCCTAAAGCTAATTAGCATTTTTTTGGCTTTCTAACTGGGACAGTAGGATTCAAATACTATTTTCTGACACTGGCTTAATGAGGATTTGGGATCACGTGTAAGAACACAAGCTTGCTTCTCATTCAGAGCTCTTCAGGGCAGCTGATGTCCCACAACGGTAGATGGCAGCCTATCCTGACCCCACCACTCTGAAGAAACCACACGATTCCCCTCACTGCTAACAGCGTCAACAGGAGCTTAGCACTCTGCAATTCCATAGATTCAAATCCAGTATCAAATTTTTTCTTACAGGACTGTAATGACTGCCAAGAAGATTAAATTACTCCATCATCTCAAAGAAAATAAATGTTTAAGGAAGGGACAGGACAGGAACAGTAATGTCTGTATGAGTCTGTGCAATCTCTCTTACAGGACCTTCTGCGCCGGGACATCTTGTATTATAAGAGTAGGATCAACATGGATGATATGGAAATACTGGATGTAGAAGATGGGAAGGACAAGGACTTCAATATCAGTGTGAAAAATGCATTTAAGTTGCACTGCCGAGGCACAGAGGAAGTCCACTTATTCTGTGCAAAAAAGCCTGAGCAGAAACAGCGCTGGCTGAAGGCATTTGAGAATGAAAGGAGACAGGTTCAGCTCGACCAGGAGACGGGTATGGAAAGAGCAATGCTGTGAGGCAGTGGTTTTTTGTGGGGGTTTTTGTTTGTTTGTTTTCTTCTTTTTTTAACCACCAGCCAATGCATAGGAGTGAAAGGGGGGAAGCCAGTCCATGCTCCAGTCCAGCTCTGGGCTGCTGAACTGCACATTTTGAATGAACCTGTGGAATTTAAAAAAAAAAAAAAAAAAAAAAATACAAACCACTGTAAGCAGACACTGCAGTATGTCCTCAGGGAGGCTGACATGTCTTTAATGAGTTCAGGCAGGGCTGACAAAATAGTCAATACATTACATACAGCTTCCATTATTTTGCAGCATAGTGTGAGCGCCCAACTTGGCAATATCTATACAAAACATGTTCAGTCGAGGGTTTTCATTGTTATACAAACCTGTAAGCAGACACTGCAGTATGTCCTCAGGGAGGCTGACATGTCTTTAATGAGTTCAGGCAGGGCTGACAAAATAGTCAATACATTACATACAGCTTCCATTATTTTGCAGCATAGTGTGAGCGCCCAACTTGGCAATATCTATACAAAACATGTTCAGTCGAGGGTTTTCATTGTTTTGTCCAAATGCTGCTTAATTCTGACACGTGTGATCCAATGAGATTTGAACCGCAACTGGTCTGGACTGGCTTCTTCACCCAGTAAAGCATGGGGTGAAGTGCAGGCAGTAAACCTTGCATGAGAGGCAGGGAGAGTTGTGCAGTACAGCACAGGCTGGAGCAGGGGGCAGTACATGCCCCTTCCAGCTTTGGGAGTAATTTTAGCTTGTGACCTCTCACCTCAGGTTTTCCTACCCCTGTATTTCCCTTACTGTCTATGCCAGTGTCTTCCCACGAGATACAAAATGACGACCTGCTGCTGACAAACTATTTTATCTTCAAGGTTTTTCAATCACAGAGGTGCAGAAAAAGCAGGCAATGCTGAATGCCAGCAAGCAGCACCATACTGGGAAGCCTAAGGGTGAGTCACACTGAACATACAAATGCTGCTAAAACTGGGGGTGGGGGGTGGTTGTACATTTACTATATGGGAATAGTTTCAGTGAAGTGGCATTAACAAACTCTTGAGAAGGCCAGATGGTGAGCTCTGATGTGACAATCTGCAGAATCGTTCCTGGCAGATTCAGACAGCTGGAGTCAGGAAACTATTCCTAACTACAGGAGAGCTGCTTTGCACCTCATCACTGAGCGCTGTGCCAGAAATCAGTTACGTACAAGCAGGCAGCTTCTATTCAAAAGCTAGTTCACAGCCTTGCCCTAGAAGCCAGGCTCTCCAAGCAGTATGGCATTCCCTTTGTGAAAAGACAAGATGAAGTTTTGCAGTAATCCCCCCAATGGGGGAACTGGACTCGATGATCTTAAAGGTCTTTTCCATCCTAAATGATTCTATGATTCTACAATGCAAAGAGGGTCCATAAAGGTCACTGCAGCAGGGACTATTCCTGCCTGGGCAGTTGTGCCTGTGGAAGATGCTTTGAAACCTGTGATTTTGGCAGAATGCCATGGGTAGGTACTGTGCTCACTGACACGAGCTGTTTGTTAAAACTTTAAGAGACAAGGAAGATTTAGCAGCAGCCAGGGGAGCGTGAACTCAAGCAACAGAAAGGAAGGTTCCTGTGCCCACAGCACTGGCAGCTGAAGATTCCCGCTACCCGACTTTGTGATGTCACCACCCCTCTTTATAGCCAGAGGAAGAGATGTCACTTGCTTTCCTCTGGACCCACAGAGAGGCAACCACTTCCTCTTGGCGGTACCAGCCAGCAGTTAAATCCTAGCCAAATCTCCAGTAAGAAAGCTTGGCTAAATTTCAAAACAAGTCAGAAGTAAGATCTGGCTGCAAACAGAGGGAAGTTTGGAAGGAGGCCAGACCTCTCTAACAGAGCAAAGCCCTAGGGGTGAAGCACTAGAGGAGACCCCACAAGCCAGCCCTGTCTGCAGCCTAGGTACTGGCTATTACGACTCAGAAATCCAGTGCAGGAAGTTGTAACAGGCAACAGAGGCACATGCACATCAGCTGCTTCTCCCAAAACAACCAAAGTCACCAGTTAAGTTGGCCACTAATGATAAGCTACAGCTATTTAGCCCTGCTGCAGTGGTGACAGAACAGGTGTCAGTTATGCTTCACATTTCTGGGACTTCCACAGCATCAACTTTAATCCTCAAAAGCAGTGCTGAAACTAACAGTAATACTAAGACAAACCCAATTCACTCCCCTGCAGCTTTAACAGGGACTGGACAGGGGGTGGGGAAGGGAGCTGTGCTCAACTAACATGCTTCCCCATCTCCTCCTCCTCACAGCTGTCACCAGGCCATACTATGACTTTCTGATGCGTCAAAAGCATCCCACCCTGCCTACTACACTCCCTCAGCAGCAAGTCTTCATGCTGGCAGAGCCCAAGCGCAAGCCCTCGAACTTCTGGCAGAACATCAGCAGGCTGACGCCCTTCCGGAAATAAGGGCAGCACCGTGTTTGTGCCTGAACCCCTTCTGAGAAAGCACTTTATCCGTCAGTCCTGGGAGGTGGAGCACAGGTTCTTCCAATCCTTTGTTTACAGAGGATGGCACATGTGGCTCCTGCCTTCCCTATTTATTTTGCAGACCGACTGACCGCACTGGCTCTGAGGCGAGACACTGCGTGTGTGCTTGCACACATGTGTGCATTTGTGCCAGTCCCATCGAGCCAGCCTTGCACAGCCCCCAAGAGGCAAACTTCCAGGAAGAGATCACAGGAGGGAGCCTGACACGTTTTGTCTGAAAAGATTTTGCCTGTCAGCTGTACTTTGACTCACTCCTTCCTGCTGTGAACACTACTGCTGTCTGGCAGCTGTCAGAGAGGGGATGGCAGCTGATAACACCTGCCAGCTCTGTGTCCACTGATATGCTCAGAACAACAGTTCAGAGTCACTGACATTATACGTTTCCCATGGAGGGATAAACCCTTCTGCTCTCTGCCCACCCCCGCTCCCCACGTTTCTCAGAGACATGATCCTCCTACACACTTCTAACTAATCCAGTTAGCCTTTGCAGGCACTCAGACAAGACAACAGTGAGTATTGCACTGTGACCTTTTTCCTTCCTTTAGTTCAACACCACTGATGAACTATGTAGTACATTAAACTGTGCCAATCAACCTGCAGCATGAGTAAAGTTCAAGAATCTCTCTAGTGGGTTTGAGTTACGTAAGTTAGAAAAATGTGCCTAATCAATACCGTACTCAATTCCTTAGATTCTCGTCTCTCCATCAGTCTGCCATATTTCCTGGCCAATGAAAATGCTCATTGTTTGTAATGTGTTTATTTATGGTAAAAATCAGAACTGTGTATTTTGTAAGTCTGTAATTGTTCTTGTCAGATGTTGTTAACTTGATGCCTGTTTTGTCTGGTTTTTGTTTGTTTTTTTAAGAAAGGTCAATATTTGCAAACCTAGCTCCCGGAAGTCAGAGTCTACAGTTCAACTCTGAAAGACTAAAACCATGGTTGTTATGCAAACTCCCACAGACCCTCAATTCAAGGGGTATTATTACAGGTTTTTGACACCTTTAAAAAAAATGGAAAGACACTTTAAAAAGGCCTAAATTTGGCACTAAGAGCCCCACTTTAAGTACCCAAGTTTCAAACTGTGGCCAAAAAGAATTCATCTAAACCTTGGTTAGCAAAAGGAAAGATTTGCCTTACCATAGCGAGAGTTAGAAGCCATACTGACTGAGTTCCCTAGCTTAGGAGACATCCTGTGACATTGGAAGGAAGACACCTGCCCCTTCCAACATGATGCTAGTGTGAATGAGCACTAACTGTCTGCAGAGCTCAGAAGTCCAGTGTTTGTTGATGCTGTAGCTGACCAAAGTCTGGTCATCCAGGGATATCTGAATTCAGTAGCATGTACAAAGTCATTCTTGCACTATATCTTCCCCCCAGACCAGGGGCAACATTTAATTTCATAAAGAAACTTGTAAAAGTGACTCTCAGTCTGTGTTTGTCTCCAGCATGTCTATCTGTGTGAACTTGTTTCTCTTCAAAGTCACTGTAGAGATCCTGCTCTTGCAGCTTAAAAAAACCTGACCACTCATCACTAGACCACTGAGCACTAATCAGTAGAAACCATGCCAGAAGGTTACCCTCAACAAAGCCACCCTTCAGATGGAAGGCTGGTGAAGCAGAGACCGTATCAGAGATGTGCCGGTCACTTAGAACACTGATCAAGCTTAGCAAGTCACCAGCTCCCAAATTCCTGCTAGTTACTTAAATGGAAAACATGTCTAGGAAACATCAAAGAAGCTGCAGGGGATGCTCAAGCCCACTTTGAGCAATATGGAATTAAGGAGGAACAGCAAAGGCCAAGAAGTAAGAAACATACTTGAAAGACAACCCACCTGCCCCACCTGCAGCCTGCTCCCTTGCCCTTCTTCTTGGGAAAACACAACTCCATGCCTGTCTCCTAGGCAGAACCAGGTGTGACATCACCATTCAATACAGTCCTACAGACAGTGGTGACTAAAAACCCCAAAAAGCTCCCTCTCATGCAGAAGCGCAAGAGATGTCTGCCCATAGAAGGTTTAGCACTTCCCCGCCCCCCCCATCACCCCATACAACAGAGGAAAATGGGGCTTACCAAACTGGAAGCAGAGGCTGGAGATGCTGTCTGTCTGCCTCACAGTGACCTGAACCAGCATAAACATTTACAGGTCTGGTCTGTCATTTGTCAAAAAAAAGTGCATCTCTAATGGCAGGCAGCAGTTGGGAAAACAAGCCAGTGGGACATTGCAGGAATGGCCTTCAAACACTGCACAAGCAAGTGCAGTTCACTAAGACCGGGAAAGGGAAAAAACAACTAAAAAAAAAAAATCAGCCCTTATTTGTGTGTTATCAGCCCTACAGCGCTCAGCAGTGCCTGTCCTCACCCTCTTGTCCTTTCAACCCACCCCCTGCCTTCCATGAGCCCTGGCTAAGCTCCCCTCATGGTCCAGAGCATAGTGGCAGCCTAAGCTTTAGCAGCCAACATGAAGATCTTTTGACAGTTGGGCCTCTCAACCTGAACTAAGAAACAGAACATTTGTTCTCTACACTTGAGAGGACAGTGTGCCAATACTGCGGGGGGGGATGGGGGACCAGGAAAAAACATAAAGAGTAATTTAGACTCTGTAAGAAGCCACTGAGATCAGGCTCCACTACTCACTTCTTGCCAAGTACCAAAATTAACAGTGACACCTCCCAGACCCATGCCAGGTTACTGAGTGCTCTGCATGCCATGAGCATTACATGGTTTGGACATTTGCTCCCCCGCTCTAAATGCTAGGAAGAGCTGCCTGTCCATAGTACAGCCTCTGCTAAGTCCCATAGGCTGCAGACAGAGTCTGCCCCCGACCCCCTGGCAGGGGGAGGGCAGTAGCTCTGCTGGGCTAACCCAGACACAGCAAATGGTGCTCCTCAACGCTGGGGGCTTTACCTGCGGCCCCCTGTTCCCACAGCTACACCAGTATTAGCATAATGCCCTCTTACAACAAACATTCACCCCAACAAGCTTAAGCCTTTGCACACGCACACACCCACCCACCCCCCTCCTTCTGCCTTTCAGGGGTACAACCCCATGCTTGCTGCCTGACTCTGTGCTGCCTGCTCTGCACTCGCCCTAAGCAGAGCAACACGCCAGTGGGACAGCACAGCATCCATAGGGCTGAATGACCCTTGCTGCATTGCCACAGCCAGAACAGGGTCAGACAGTCACAGCCAGCACCCCTCAGTAAGAGGGGTAAACACTTTTGTGTTTACCCTAAGTGTCTGCACTCTCCTTTCCTTATCCATGGCGTGTTTGTTTTGATTGGCCAGGAAGAAAATCTGTTGGCACGGAAGTGATCAGTTTTCTGAGCTTACCAGCTTTGTAGTAGGTGGGGGGAGGAATGCTGGATTGGAGCAGTGACCACAAGCTGGAAGGGACAATGCCCCCCACAACACACGCACACACCCTCAACGCAAGACCAACCGTGAAGCTGCATCAGGGTGCTCATGGTCTTGTCCAGTTGCTATCTGAGTGTGCTCAAGGACGGAGATTCCCCTGACACCTCTTTGGGTCCCTGTTCAATACCTCACTGTCCACATTATGAAAAAAAGTTCTTACATCTATTCAAAGTTTCCCTTGCTGCAACTTCTGATCTGTTTTTAATTTGTATGTTGCTTTATACACTCAGCTTTACATCTACATTGAAGTCACTCCGGTACAAATCCCGACCTATTCTACTGAATGAAACGGGGTGACAGTGGCACAGTACCCTAAAGCACAGCAGCTTTGAAGGGTAATAAAAAATGCCCCTGCCCTCCCCTCGCTAAAAGACATGTAAGAATTGGCTAGTATTAGTTATCTGTGTAGCAATACTCTGACCAGTAAATATGCATCGAGTTGTTTAAATTATCAGCTTATTTACCATCTCTTCCAGAACTTACTCCATATCTGACCAGTGCACACAAATGATTTATGGAGAGAACCTTTCTATAGAAATCTTTCTAAGTGCCAAAACAGACTCCTCTGGCCAAACAGAATACCAGCTGATGAAAAGTTATTTATTTCTAGTAGAGAGAAATACATTCTCTACTTGACTGCCTATCGGTACTCTTCCTAAAACGTGTCTTCAGTTGGGATTCTAGTCTTGTAAGAAACATTTGGAGCTAGGATCCGATCCCCTATGCAAGACTGAAATCAGGTATAAAAGCTGATCACACTGAAAGAGATGGAAACCCTGTAACACAGTAGGTGGAGTTACAGCAACTGACATTGATAAACAGGTAAGAATCAAACTCACTTTTCTCAATATACCTACCCACGCACCGGCATGTCAATAGACCACTTTGTAAATCTGAAGAGGATTTCATCAAGAAATGCCATCCTTTATTTTCTACCCAGCACTACTTCCTGAATCTCTAACCACAAAACCTATTATTTCCTGAACAAACTGTGTAATCAGATCATGTGTAACCTCCCCTGGTTTTAAATGATTAGACACTCAAAAGTCATCTCATCTCCTAAGTTACTGATTAAATGGTAAAACGTACGTATGTTAGACAGTGGTAACAGACTAACCAACAGTGCATTTCCCTCCTCTTCACCCTGGCATCTGGATTTTGAATGGAGTTACTCACATTGTGCTGTCAATTAGAAGTATCAGGGAGAATGCGTGTGTAGGACAGAAAGCGTTCGTGTACACGTTACGTAGGTTCACAAGGTCATGTAAACTGGTAATAAAGGGGTTTTCTGGCATATGAACAACAGGTCAAACACAGCTTCTGTCAAGCTTTCCGGGCTTACCGGACAACACAATCTTACCAGATTCACAAGAGTCGTCCATTTGAAGCATGAATAAGCAGAGACGTTGAGACTTCAGTACCCACTTCTCTGGAGATGAACCTTCTACATGGCCAGAAATGCAGATTTTCATGCAGAACAAACTGAAGCTCCTGACATGAGTCTGAACAGCACCAATCGTTCCGGATTTCAGGGTAGAACCTACCTAACTACTCAGAAAAATACTTCTGCATTGAGTTACATAAGGAGGACAAGATGACTTGATCCAGGGGTGGTTTGGGGGGATTTTTTAGGGGTTTGGGCTCTATCTGTTCCCCTCCTTCTGTAGCTATCCATTTAGGAAGCTTCTTTTGAAAAACAGCCATGGTTCTTAATGAGTAAAATCTGCCCGGATTTCACTTGGACAAGTAAAATACAGACTTATGTAAAGCACGTGAACCAATCAGAAGAATGATTTGCTGAAGCTACCAATAAAATGAAAAGAATCAGTGACTGCTAAATAATCCAGTTTCTGCTCTGACAAAAAAAAAAATCTCTAATTTGAACTATTCGTTTGGAATAACCAAGTCAGAAAAGGTGGGTGTACACACTAGAAAAATGCCTATGCTTCAAGTTTTGATAGCATTAAAAGCAGTACAAACTGTCTTTGTACTAAAACAAAACAACAAATAGATCAACTCCCATGGAGCTGAAAGTTCCCATGAAGCAGCCTTTAAGATCTTTTCCGTTTTGTCCGTTACCTGAGGAACAGCAGGCTGTAGGGTGGGGAGGAATCCTGTTCCTGTCTGGCCTATTGCCTCGCTGCTATACACCGCAGGTAGTTCCAGCTGTCCAGGACATTGCTCCGCAAAACCAGCACTTCAGTCTGTCATCCAGAAGCCTACGATCTGCAGACCACCTGCATCTGGGTGTCCAAACAGCTTCCTGAAAACATCAGAAAGCCAGGCCTCTCTGTCATTGATCGGGACAACTGAAAGTTGAGGCATCTACGAGCAACAGACGTTCCAAGAGAATCTCAGCATGAGGCTGAAAATGCTACATTTCTCAGGATGCCAGAATGACAGACATTAGCTTTTCTTAATAAAAAGGCCTTCCATCTTTTGCAACGTATGTCAAAATATCAGGCTGTGCTCCTCCAGATTTACTGTAGTGGAAGCATAGCTTCATGTAACAGCAGAATTAAATATAACAATCTCACCACTGATTTTTAAATATCAGTCTTTCGAACAAGTATTGTACCACTTGCTACCCAGACAGCTTAAGAACTTTGTCAGCATCTGTGAGGTGGTACAGCTTCCAGCAAGTGCTAATTTCTTATTTTACTGTTATTACTACAACTGTTTTCAATTCTCATGTCAAGTTTCGCCGTGTACCTGCTAATGAAGATTATGGCATTGCAATACCTGTTTGGACAGTGCATAGGGTACTACAGTAATTGCTAAAGCTTTAAGA